AACACAAACATAGTTGAGCACACATATAAAAAATCATATGTGAGGATTTTTTATTGGGAAAATGCAGATCAATTTAAAAATAAATAAATAATAAAATAAATAATATCGTTCATATCAATTTAACAAATAAATAAATAATAATAATAAATAATATCGCTCATGTTGAAGAATAAAATATTAAAGTCTTCGCTTATTTTAATCCGAATGAAGAAGTTGAATTCGAAGAAGTTATAATTTTTCCTTTCTTATAAATATTCTCCTAAAATTGCTTTTGCTGCTTCTTCTCCAAAATTCTCATCACTACTCTCACACTTGGATAAACAAATAAAAAAGCATATATAATAAGTATTCATTGTATTCATTGTGCAATTTAATCATTAGAGAATATTTTATTTACCGTTTGTTCTCTTTTCTCTTTCCTAACAGCTGCAAGATTTTCTTTTGTAATTTTTACTTGAATTTTATTGGAACCAGAAAGCAACATTCGTGATTCCTGCAGTGGTTTCTTCATATTAGGATGTGTTTTAATATCATATTTGTTAAACAGGCCTTCGATTTGTTGTTGGTGTACTACAATAGACCAAATTCTATATTTCACAAAATCATACAGAAGTGGAAATTTGTGAAGGCTTGAAGCAACAGATACAGAAAATTCTTGAAATTCATCTAAAAAGTCTTGTTCCTGAAGAGCTTCTAACAGTCCAAAAGATTGGTTGATATCTTTTGATTTGTCTCTCTCAAGAAATTCTATATATTTTTTTTCATGCAAATTTATTTCTATATTATAGGAAACAGAAAAGAACACACGAGATATGGCACGAGCAAATTCTGGGCCATTATCACCTCCTAAACTACAAATTGCTAATGGTAAATGGATCCAGCATCCCATCCATTTGCAAAAACTGTCTAATGCCTTTTTTATTCCATCTTTTATTTTTTTTTTCAGATTGTTATATTCTTCATTAGATAATGAGGACTGAGCATTCTCAAACTCTTCTTTGAAAATTAATTCTGGATTTTCTGCTGCTTTTTCAAGTTCATCTATCCAAATGAAAACTTGGTCTGGCATCTCATGTGCACGGTTTCCCAAAGGTAAGCACTTAGTTTCATCTTCATTAGCTATTCGAAGTACAGTGTCAAATCCAGTTAAAAATTTAAAGACTTTTTCATAAAATGTTTCTCCAAATCTCACCATGGATTCTACTTCAATGTTCAACTTAGAATCCTCAAGCCAATTAAGAAATACCTTCCACTTTTTAAGATAACTACTAGGAACACTTTTTGATAGTTCCAATTCATTAACAAACCACTGTGCAAATATTTGGTGAATATCTTTATTTGTTAAATATTGCTGAGCAGTTGTTAATTGATACAACCAACAACTTGAGATTGGCTTTTAATAAGATTTTAAAGGATATTGAAGTAAATTCCAATATAATTTACATATCAAGTCAGATTTCATATTCAAAGGGCTATCTTTATTACTATCATTATATCCATCATGTAAGTGGTATGTTAAATTGAGGAGGTTATGTGGGTGTTGTTGTTCTAAAGAGAGACCTGATGGAGAATTTGTTTTCCCAAATACTGTATTTTCAAAGTTCACTAATGCAATTTGTAATGCATGCAGACCACAAGATATTCGATAAGAAGAGGATTGACACATCAAGTTGAATTTGACAACTGCACCTGATTTGGAACCAGACATATAGGCAGTATTATCTGTAAGCCAAAAATTGCATTTTTTTGGATTAATTTCATTTTCTTCACATGTTTTTTTTACTGCTTTTGCCACAATATCTCCATTACATTTATCTAAATCATCCATCTTGGCAATAGTAATTGTGGGCTGATTTTTATCCTCACTCCAATGAGCAAAACAAATCAAAAATATCTTTTTATCACCACGTGTGCTTTCATCACACATTATTCCATAAGAATAAGAATGTGACTTGGTATCTTTAGGACGATTCTGATGAAGACACAAAGTAGCAACCTCTTTATTCCAACGTGAAATAGTTCCAGTTGAAAGCCAATGATCTGGTTTCTCACCTGTTAAAAATTGCATAATTGCTCTAGTGCATTCAACAGTGGATGAAATGGAAATACTACCAGTGTTACTGATTTTGGTTACAAGCTCTACAAACTCAGGTGTATATTGTTTCTTATTTTCTTTTATCATCTTTTTTATAGCATTCTGAAGTTGATTAGGAGTAATTTGTTTTGCTTTTTGTATAGATTGGCGTAATTTAGAGACATGGTTTTTTTTTGCTTCTTTAGCTTTCACCTCTTTCATTTTAAGGGATCTTAATTGAAGATCAGTATTTTCTTTTTGTTTTTCTATTTTATGTATTTTAGTTTCCATCTCACTAATTTTTTCTTGTATTGATGACATTGATGAAGATTGTTTATAAATGCTGCTATTTACAAATTCTTTTGCCTTTTTTTGAATATAAGATGAATATATTTCTCCACAATGGTTCCCTTTATCATATCTCATTGTGGAAAACAGAGTATAAGCATTGATTATCTGGCTCTCAGGCAAGTTTCTTACATGCTCAATAAGTTCATTCCTCCTTTTTTCTATTTTATTTTGTGGAATAAGAGTATTAATTTCATGGATGGTTTCTTGAGGTTCATCAAAATTAATTTCATGGATTGTTTCCTGTAGTTCATCAGAATTCATTTCACAAATAATTTCTTGAGATACATTTGAATGGATAATTTCTTGAAATTCATTAGAGTTAATTTCATGGATGGTTTCTTGAGGTTCATCAAAATTAATTTCATGGATTGTTTCCTGTAGTTCATCAGAATTCATTTCACAAATAATTTCTTGGGATCCATTTGAATGGAAAATTTCTTGAAATTCATTAGAGCTAATTTCATGGATGATTTCATGGAGTTCATTGGAGCTCATAGACTTCAAAATTTCAATAACTTGAGATTTAGGCAAATCTTTATTATATTTTTTTTTCAATCTGCAACTTGCAACACCTATTGATGATATCTTTTTCAAATGTTTTCTTAATTTTTTTTGAGGAGGCATTATAATGATCAATCAAAAATACAACTTTTGAATCAGTACAAATAAATTGTGAGATTGTGTTGAATTGGTGTGTAAGTTAATAATGATAATACAAAGGTATTAATTTATTATTATTTTTGTCAATTGGGAATATATATTTGTTGTAAATTTGTGAAAAGAATTTTTATTATTTGATTATTTGTTCAGAAATTATTACATGTCAAAAATTAGGAAGAGGGAAATTTCAAAGGCTATTTGAATTAATTTGATGTTACTCAATCCTCAGCATCAAAATACAAGAAGTTCACAAGAAGCAAGTTAAAGTGCCAAGATGTTGAATTGATAATGCAAAGTTCTTCATAGAAGGGTTTGTTTGAATAATAAGATTTTATTTTAACTACATGATTTATGTAATTAGAATTTGTTTGAATCATATTAATAATCCAAAGTTTGTTACGCAAACAGTCAGAAAATATATTTTCCTGTCATGATGATAAAAAAATAATTCATATGAAAAATTAATAATCCAAAGTCTGTTACGCGAATAGTCAGAAAAGATGTTTCCTTTATTGTGATTAATAAAAAAAATAATTGAAAAATTAATAATCCAAAGTTTGTTACGCGAATAGTCAGAAAAGATGTTTCCTTTATTGTGATTAATAAAAAAAATAATTCATATGAAAAATTAATAATCCAAAGTTTGTTACGCGAATAGTCAGAAAAGATGTTTCCTTTATCGTGA